ATCAAACTTGTCAACAACAAAGACAAAGCAGAATTTCAAGAGCAGCTCTGGAAAAATTAACAGCCACTTACAAGGGCCACCAATAAGACTACTTGACAGAACACATGCAGGCAAGAAGACAATGGACATATATTAAACCTTGAAAAAATGCCAGCCAAGAAATATGTAATAAGTAAAATTCTCTCTCAAATAACGGGGAAATTAGGGTATTTCTAGATGTATAAAAACTACAGGAATTTGGAAAATTTGGACCAACTTACAAGAAAAATTAAAGAGAGTCCTTTGGACAAAAAACAAGCACATCAGACTCTATCCTGAGATTAGGACATAGAATAACATCTGTCAGATACCAACTCAGATAAAGAATTACCGAAAATAGAACAAAGCTCAAAGACAAGACCGGGAACCAAAGATGTCAATCTGTGCAGGACGGCAGTCAAACAGACAGAGGGGATAATGGTGTCATCGTGGCACTTTCACTTAGAGGGGAAGTCAAGGCAATATCAAGAAATCAAAGACTGCTTACAACTTAGGAAGATAAAGGTAAATTTCAGGGTAGCCACAAAGAAAGTTAACAAGCCTATTCATCCAAATAAAAAAGCAGATCTGTAACGACTCACTAAACACAAAACCAACAACAAAGCAAACAAAAAGAAAATCTACAAGCAAAAAGAATTCGGCACAGGAAACTAAGCGGAACAACAAAAAAGGGCTGTCATCACTACTAAATAAATAAATAGCACAACAAAATAACAGCAGTAAAATCGTACCTATTGATAAACACACTGAATGTGAACGGCCTAAAATGGACCAGCAGAGAGTGGCAGAATATATTCAGAGTAGACACCACCCACCAGTATGTTGTCTACAAGAGGTACACCTTAGACACAAAGACATAAGTGAATGAAAACTCAAGGATGGAAAAAATATATCAAGCAAAAACTAACCAAAGACTAGGCGTGGCAATATTAATCTCTGATAAATATGTTTAAAGGCAAAAACCCACCCTAAAAGGACATTACGCAAAGGTAAGTAACAAGGTCCTAAGGTTCCAGTACATACTTGTTCCAGTTTATTCCAAACAAAACCTGTTTAAACATATCTCTGCCATCAGTGGATGATGACGGCAGACAAGTTCTCTCAAATATATTTGCTTTAGTCTGCTTAGGGTGCCTTAAAAGAAAAGATCCAATCAGCACAGTGGCTTCTGAGGGAATTAACTGGGCCAGTTTCATTCAAGACAGAAGGTTAATGGCAACTGTTTAGAGAGGATTCCAAAGGAATTATCTTAATTGATATTCTCAAAGGATAAGGATGATCACAGGGTCATACTCTGATGATGTCTTAAAACTATATTGATGTGGAAAAGGCCAAAAAGTTTCACCAAAGATTTTTTCCCCATTATGACAATGCATTTGCTCATTCTAAGAGAGCAGGCAAATAAAAGGTTGTCTTATAAGAATCTTGTTGGGAAAGCTTATTGCATCCACTGTATTTTGCTTTTTCAGTCTTCTTTTTTGCCCCAAATCTCCAAAAACATTAAAAAAGAACACAATTTGAGTCTTTTGAGGAAGCCAAAACTGCCATTTCAATGTGTGTAAATTAAAGAGCTCAGGTTTCTTAGCAGGAGAGAGATGGAAATACCAATTTCCAAAATGTATAGACCTAGCTGAAGGATATGTTTAAAAAAAAAAACAGCTTCATATTTGGGTCATTTAATAAAGGTTTCTATAATTTACCCTTAAGGAACCCTGGTGGTGTGGTGGTTCTGCATTGGGCTGTGTGATCCGATTGGAAGAGAGTTTGAAGCCACCAGTGAGAGAAAGACGGGGCTTTCTACTCTGGTAGTCTCAGAAACCCACAAGGGGTCGCTATTAGTCAGCATTGACTCCATGGCAGTGAGTTTGGTTTTTTATAATTTACCCTTATATTGGTAAATTCAAGAATTCTTGGTTACAATTTATCCTATAAAATCATCTTTGTTACCTTCCATTTTGTTTAAAAGATGTAGGGGAAAATGGCTCTTTGACACCCATATAAAGAAAGCTTGCTGATGTTAAAATATTCACTTAAAATAAAAAGTGCTGATCCATGTGAGACCCCAATGTCAGTAGTCATCACATCAATGATGATCCCACATCTTCTTCCACCCAGTTTCTGGACTTCAAGAGCATGCCTGAAATCACTCCACTGAGCACAGAGACACATTTAAACGTGTTTTGTTTGGAATGAACCTTGTGGCATTATGGGTTAGGTGTTGGGTGGCTCACCACAAGGGCGGGGGTTCAAGCTCACCAGCTACTCTATGGTAGAAAGATAAAGTTGTCTGCTTCCATAAAGCGTAACATCCATTAGTGGAAACCGTATAGAGTCATGAGTTGGAATCAACTTGATGGCAGTGGAGTGATGTATGAATCGGAATGCCAGTAGCAATACTTTTTGATTGACCCTCATATATAATGGGTGTTAGTGGTGGGAGATGGGGGAAATACAAGAAAACTATGGATCTGCTAGACAAAGGTATACATACAATATTCACAGTTGAATACTGATGCGGTCTGGTAAGAAACTAAATATATAAAACAATGTTCTCAATGTGTTATGAGAACAAGTCATTTTTATTATCTTTTCTCATTTCTCACCCCACCCTCCAACAGACACCTTTATTTTCCGGCAGTATGGCATTAGTTCTCTTCACTGTGCCAACCGGGGAACAGAAGGGGGTTAAACAAAAATGTTGGGTAAAGTGGGAAGCCATAAGATGTGAGTACGGTCATAAACATTAACTTAACATGTCTACTTGATTATGCAGTTTATTTCTGACATTTTCTTATAAAAAAGATGCCTCTTTGTGTAAGGAGCTGTTTCGGGTTCCAGGCCTTCTTTCTTGTAGAAAAGGTATTACATCTATGAACTTCAATTTTTTACGAGTATTTCGTTAAAGCACGATAAGCTTAAAGGTACTTGTATAGCAATTTGAATGCTGATTCCTTCTAGGATTTTTACTCTGTTGCTCCCTAATCTGCTATCTCACTCACAGTAATTTGATTACACTTTTTAAGAGAGGCTTTATTGAGTCTTTCCAAAGTATTCAATTTGACAGTAATGGAAAGTCTCTTTTATATTCATATTTCTTCAGTTTATATAGCATTTAAATAAATTCAATGGACATAACAGGTAGTATAACTTACTAGAATGGTTTGGGTATAAATAAGTGAACCTCAGTAAGCACCTACCTCACTTGGTAGAAGCATGTGTACAGAAACTTCCTAGCAAATATGTACAAGCTAAGACTATTTCGTGTGCTGTGGGTACCAGTAAGCATGATTCCTGAAGAGGAGTGGTGTCAAAAGAGTTGGTGATTTCAACCATGGTTACAATTTATGGGAATGCTTTCTACCCCTGTAGCAGTTATAGAGTCTTGGAAACTCACAGGGGCAGTTGTACCCTACCCTATAGGGTCACTATGAGTTAGCATTGACAGTGAGTTTGGTTTTTGAGGACTGTACTACATTTGATAATCAGGACAAAGTAAGTGTGAGACACAAACTGTGACCTCAAATTGCTTGCAGTTAAAGAAAAAAAAGCCCCTACAAAATATATTAAGAACACACTTTAGTCTTCTAATTTTTGCTTTGTTTTCTCTGAACCCAATTTTCCTGATTCATAAAAACCATTAAGCTAGTACCTAATGAATGTGTAAGTTTTAAGACTAATCCTGCTCTCCTGCCTCTCCTAATAGCAGGCAAGGGCTATGATCAACCGCAGAGTGAGCATGGAAGAGATCAACCTATAGAATTCTTAGAGAAGGGCGGCTAGGCCCGTTTACCTTAAAACTGAAATAATTCCGATAAAGGTTTCCTAACCTTCCAAAAGTGGCCAGGACAGCTTGACAGGCAAAGTTAAGGTCAACAGACACGGGTCCTTCTTTTTGGGTTTAGGATTGCCCAGCAGAAACGAACACTGAAGTAGAAAAGCAAATGTTTTGAGAATGATGAGGGCAACACATGTACAAATGTGCTTGACACAAATGGATATATGTATGGATTGTGATAAGAGTTGTATGAGCCCCCAATAAAATGATTTTTTTAAAAAAGAAAGAAGCAAAGAACACTGGTCTTCTTCCTTGACCTTGGCTGTTCTACCCCTGGGCCTCCCTCAAAATCGCAATAGCAAAGCTCATTCTGCTTGAGAGCTTCACCAATGAGACAAGGTCCTCTTTCCCTAACGGAGTGGCACATTTCAGGAAAAGTGAGAGCCACAAAGGGCCTCAAGGAAGACCATGGAGAGTTGTGGCCATGAAAATGTGTAGTGAGGGTCTAGAGGAGGGAGAGCAGGTCAACAGTTTGAGATACAAGCTAGAGGAAGGCAGGTCAGACCCTAGGGCTGCCTACAGTAACCCCAACACTGCAGAAAACATAAGCAGTGACTCGCAATCAGAAAGGATTTCTGGAGAGCATTTATCTTAAATGAAAATGGGTGAAACTTCTGTTCAAGATCAAAGTGCCTGGCTAGGAGAGACTTCCAGCTATAGGGCACTATTCTACTCACTGGTATCTAGCTCCATGTTCAAAGAACTCACGAGGCCTGCAGGCCATGGAGGTTATAAAACAAGGGGTGAACATCAGAAAGATGTTTAAATGTTACAAACCTGTGAATTCAGTTTAATTTTATAAGAAGGGCTTATGGCAACCAGTCTCACTTCCAGTTTGATTTAAACTAACAAATGTTTACTCTTTAAGATAGAATGGCGAGCAGAACCCTCATCGGTGAAGTAGACATCAGTGTTTGCATTACTGAGCATGCATCTGCACCTGAACTTCGAGAAAGGGTATTTCATAATTGGATCAAGTGGCTTGGGACAAGGGTAGCCTGACGACGCAGCAAATCACCTAAACAACATTATCCTATAGCCGAGGCTCAAAAAAAGGGCACTCAATCCTCTCTGAACTGCAATAGGCCTACCAGAGAGAGCAACAGCTCTACAGTAGCTGCCTTACCTTTCACTACTTCAGCCACATTGCAGGTGGGGTCAATGCTTCCGATGTGTTTAGGCTGAGCAGGGTTGGTGTCTTCACCAAACAGCAGTGCTAAACAAACACAAAAGGGCAGGGGTAGGGTTAAAAAAGAGAAGTCAAATAGAGGGGGTTATGGGCTTTGGGAAAGCTTCCCTTACTTGAAGGAGAGAACCCATTTCACATCCACAGCAACTGCGAGCAGTGCCAGTGGCAGGAGAGCAACTCTCCCAGACAATGGAGGAGGGGGGCCAGGCTTTTAGACAGTTGCAGGCAGCAGATTCCAAAGCAGTGTGCCATTTGCAGGGTGCTGTTTGTTATAACCTTTCTTCCCCCACCTGGTGTGACTTGAAGAAACTTACTTCTATCCTTAGCCACACTCACTGACCAATACTTCTCCAAGCATCTATTCTGAGATTGACTAAACCTTTAGAGCATCACTCAGACAGGCCTGCAAAGTGTCTTTTCCGGGAACATTTCAAAGGTCTCTGTCATGGAGATGTTCTTTCCATGTAACACTCCTGTAGAATATTTGTTCAGATATCTTAAAAAAAATTTTTTTCAGGTCATCTCACAATAGACAAGATTTACAAGTTTTCTTATTGGTGGGGGGAGGGGGCGGACCATAAATAGCCCTTAAGGAAAAAGTCATCTAAATGTCTATAGGAGAGGGTGGTAGTTGTTATTTCGTGGCTATCGAACTGGCTCTGGCTCATGTGCCCAATCCTGTGCCATCCTCATAATTGTTGGCATGTTGGAACCCACAGCAGCAGTCACGGTGTCAATCCATCTTGAAGGGTTTCTTTTGTTTGTGATGATATTACCAAACATCAATAGGGGCATCTCTTTACATCAAGCAAACATTTTCTACAAAAATTGAGTGCCTAGATAAAAGATAAGATTTGAATTCTAAAAACTGACAGATATGAGCAAGAGGCCAATACACACAATTCCAACTGATTAAGTGGACTTGTATTCAGCTGGACCAACTGTCTAGAAACACGTAGGAGGGGGCTTCAAAACATCCGTGGAAATATTCCGTGATCATGATCTTTTCATTCTATTTTCACCACAAACTTTGGAAGTTTCCTCCTTCAAATGTACACATATTTAGATCAGAAAAAAATGACAGTTGTTTAAATTGTTAAGTCGAAGTTCTTTTTCCTGCAACTTTCTTTTTTATTTTTAAAAGATATTCAAGCCCACACTTAATAGCTGCATAACACTCACTTTTCCAGAACAATCAAAATAGGAAAATGAAGATGCTTTTGCCATTTTCTGATTCAGCAAAGTAGATAAATTAAACACTCTAGGCATGTTGACGCTTTTCCCCAAGAACTATGAAAAGCGCCCAAAAGATAATGCTCAAAATGTGAGCCCCCAAGTTTTTGGCGGGAGTAAATTTTTTCCCCTTGTCTGCTATTAGCCTAGTGAAAAAAATCTCTAGAATATAAAAACCTCAGTACCTGACAATCTCACTTAAATACCCACTGATCGCTGTGAAATAAAAGATCAATTACCAACAGGCCAATTCAATATGCCTCGTTATCAGCGTCTTTAAAACCAAAAGAAAAACCCTGCATCCTTGATCAAGAGTAGAACATCTTCCTGGGAGACATGTGAAAGTTGTGAAAGTTCGCAGGGACACATGACAGTACTCAGAGATGCAGGTAGAGTTACCTTTCAGTACGCTTACCTACTCCACGAGGGTAACAGGCATTCAAAAGGAAGGCAGCAGCAGTGGTTCCTAATATGAGCATCTTAAAAGCCTTTCAAGGATTTCTCTTCACACCACCAACAAAAACACATTTTAAAAATGCAAATAACACGTGCATTAGAGGCCTTTTGCAAACTACGAAAGTGTTCATTTCCTGCACATGCACATCATGTATGTGGGTGTGTGTTTTGCGTGGAAAATACAGCCATTAATCATAGATTAATACAGCCATTAATTCACACAGAATAAACTGTACTTGTAATGAAATCTCGACAGCTAAAACCACAGGCGAGGAAATTACAGGAGAAACATTTTGGAACGGTCACCCCAGTGACTTTTCAAAAATAGAAAAATAACGCCAACTTACTGTGCTGGTTAATAAGCATGCGGAAAGAGATGCGGTTGGTGTAAAATCGATCCAGAAAATATTGGATGTTACTGCTAATGAAAGGATCGAACCCAAACTTCTCCTTGTACTCAATCACGCCTTGCGCCATGGTAGGAACCACGTCATTGTGCCTGTTTCGGACTTTCAGCAAGACCTGCAGAAAACTGTATGGGAGAGAAAACGAAGTGCTCAGTGTTCTAGCTCATGGGCTGACGTGTCAACGTCTCAAGTCCCTCCCTGGACTCTCTTGTCTGTGGATATAGGCAAAGACCCAACATTAACTTCACGTGCCTACTTACAAGGAATTAGTAATAAGAAACTAAAGTATGACCCCTAGTCATTTAAAATTTTTAAATTTAATTTTCATATACACAACAGTAAAACCCACTTCTATGTCAGGTTCTGGACATAATGATCAGTGACGCTGATTATATTCTACACACGGTGTGAACATTCTGGCTATTTCTGTTCTAGTTGTTTCACTTCCATCTACTTGAATTGTCCTGGCTCTAACCTTCTTACCTAGACTTTAAAACAGCAGTTGACCTTTTGGTCTTTTTTTTTTTTTTTCAGTAAAGCAGTATTCAAGACTCTTTGAGATAGCTTATTATTTAAAGGAGATTTCAAGGGGTAGTTTCTTTTCTTTTTTAAAAAAATCATTGTATTGGGGGCTTGTACAACTCTTATCATAAGCCATACATACATCCACTGTGTCAAGCACATTTGTTGCCCTCATCATTCTCAAAACATTTGCTTTCTGCTTGAGCCCTTGGTATCAGCTCCTCATTTTTCCCCTTCCCTCCCTGCTCCCCGCTCCGTCATGAACCCTTGATACTTTATAAATTATTATTATTTTGTCATATCTTACACTGTCCGATGTCTCCCTTCACCCACTTTTCTGTTGTTCATCCCCCAGGGAGGAGGTTATATGTAGATCCCTGTAATCAGTTCCCCCTTTTCACCCCATCCTCCCTCCCAGTATCACCACTCTCACCACTGGTCTTGAGGAGTTCATCTGTCCTGGATTCCTTGTGTTTCCAGTTCCTATCTGTACCAGTGTACATCCTCTGGTCTAGCCAGATTTGTAAGGTAGAATTGGGATCATGATAATGTGGGGGAGAAGCATTTAGTAACTAGAGGAAAGTTGTATGTTTCATTATTGCTATACTGCACCCTGACTGTCTTGTCTCTTCTCAAAGGGGTAGTTTCAATTCAAGATTTGAAGAGCAACTCAGGATCATAGTCTGGTCGATTCCTCCAGCCTCAATAGGTCCAGTAAATCTGGATTCTTTTAGAATTTGAAGTTCTGTTCTACATTTTCTCCCTTTTCATCATGATGTGTTTGGTGTGTTCCTAATCCAATGTTCAGTCATGGTGGTCAGGCACCATCCAATTCTTCTGGTCTTTGAGGTGGAGCAGACAGTGATTCAGACAATGAGTTACTTCCTTGATTCTTGAGTATGCCTCCTTCTTTTGCTCCAAATAAATAAATACCTACTGTTGTCTCTTAGATGGCTGTTCACAAGCTTTTAAGACTCCAGACACTACGCACCATATTAGGAGGTGCAATGGAAATGTTAAGAACTATATTAAGTCAATGAACTGGATTATGCCATGAGACCATGGCCCCAAGTCCCTAAACCAAAAGAACTGATTCCATGAGGTGATTGGCTCTTTTTAGTTATTACCCCATTTTTACTTGAACTTTCTACAAAATCTCTTCTTACAGAGAGGCACAAAGTAAAAACTCAAAACTCACAGCCATTAAGTTGATTTCAACTCACAGTGACCCTACTGGACAGGATAGAACTGCCCCTGTGAGTTTCTAAGATTGTCTTTCTCTCACAGAGTGGCTAGTGGATTCAAACTGCGACTGTGTGGTTAGCAGTTCAATGTTTAACCGATTATACCACTAGGCAAAAAGTCAAAGGTTCTATTAAAGAGAAAGAAAGAAAATGCTCAAATACCTTTTTCAAGAACCTAATGACTTTTTGAATAAGTGATTATACTCAATGCAGATATGAATGTTTCTTGAAAAATAATTGTGGAATATACCAATACATTTGATGTGAGGACATTCCAAAACTATCTCCAAAGACTTATTGACTGTTTTAATCATTTTATTGGCATTTACTACACATACCATGCAATTTAATAATTCAGTCCTATTAAGGAGAATTGTGCACAAAGGCTTATTAATGAAAATGAAAGGCTAGTACCTTCTGTCAGAATGAGAATTCAGTAGTGCAGAAAAGCATTCAGGTTGCTATATATAAAGCACAAGCTCTGAAATTAAGCCATTGTAGTGTTTCTGAGTTCAAATATAATGTCCCATTGGAAAAAAACATATTTCTTAAAGGACTGAGTAAAGAAAGACATTTATGTGTATTCTTTTTTTTCTTCCCTTAATCATTTTATTGGGTGGGCTCTTACAAATCTTACAATTCATCATTTAACTGTCACGTGTATTCTTACACTGCATTCTTAAAATTACCACTAGGTGGAACATGTACTGCAATGTTTACAGTGTGTGCCCAGTTCACCAAGAGTAAGTGCACTAAGAATGAGATTATGAAGCATACTCTGAACTGTCATCATTCCTTTTGGTATAACACCAAAACCATAACCTGAGTTTTAAAATATGTAACATTATGCTAATATCCATAAAGAAACCTCTATTTTTTTGTCTAGACTATACTTCCTGGTTCTAATGGCATGGATTTCTTTGATCAAAACATGGTCTTTGTTTTGAATCCAGATGCTTGTTCTTTCAGGTAACTTTGGTACTATACTTACTCATCCAAAACCAGTGGATCCTCGGGGCTCTTATTTTCGTATTCTAGAAGTTCAAGAAAACTCTGCATGTACCTGAAAAAGAAAAAAAAATAGAGTTACTTTGTTAGCAGTCTACCCAGCATCCTTCCTTCATCTTTCACCTTAAGTGCTTCGAGGGAAGCTGGGGCCAAGCAAAGCTCCTGGATGAGCCTGAGCTTTTCTGTGGGAAATTCCATTTCTCTTGTCCCCAGTGAGTCCAAAGATTCAAGTCTATCTGCTCTTCTCATTCTCCCTAAACACAAGGATTGGCTCAGGAATGGGCAGTGCATGTGATGCTAAATATGCTCATCTTTACGTAAATGTTTTATAAGTCTTTGGGCATAAACGGTTGTACATTACCTTGTCACACCCTCCCCCAATGGAAAACCAGAAACAAAACCACTGTCGTCTAGTGGATCCTGACTCATGACAATCCTGGAGGACTGAGTTGCACTGCCCCACAGGGCTTCTGAGGCTGAAACTCTCTGTGGGAGCAGGCAGCCTCCTCGTTTTCAAGGCAGAGGGTTAGGTGTTATTACAATCATGAGGTAAAACCATTCTGAGAGGCTCAAGTCAGCAATCTCATGATGGGCTCTGCCTCACCACAAAAACAAACTCACTGCCCGTGAGTCAATGCCACCTCGTAGCAACCCTAGAGGACAGGGTAGAACCACCCCGGAGACAAAGCTAGTGCTATGGTGCCTTGCCTGCAAGTCAAGAGAGCAAGAAGAGCATGTGCAACCTGAGGGTTCAATGTGGGGTTCACGGGTGGTACCACACCAGGCTCACTTGAGAGAGGAAAAGCAGAGGACAGCCTATTGCAAGACCTGAGCTGGGATTGGATTCCTAAACCGGGGTGAGGGGGAGGGTGGGGCGGTTGCTAAACAGAACATGAGGACACTCAGTGTCATGAGACCGGGTTCTACATAGTAGAAAACACGACCGAATCAATGTTAAATTTTTCAAAGTTGATCATCAGGATGGTGATTATTTAAGAACTATTCACACAATTGATGTGTGTATGGATTGGGATAACAGTTGTATGAGCCCCTAATAAAATGTTAAAAAAAAAAAAAAAAGAACTATTCTAAGGAAATAAAAATACTAAAGTATTTCAAGTGACAAAGGGTGATTAACCCAAATGGTCCATGGAGTGAGGGGACTATTTTGTGGAGCGAGGGGACTATTTTGTACTATGTATGCAGATATACATATGTATGTAAGGGCTTCAAAAGGTTCATGGGGAAAATGGAATAAAGAGATAATGGGATTTTTCTATGAACGTTTTGAAGCCCCCTTGCGGAGGTCTATGTGTTTGCCTATTTATCTAGGGAGAGAATCTAATCAAGCACATATCACCAAATGTTAGCAACTTAGTGGATTTGGGTGAAGTACATATATATGGGAATCATTCCTACAATTTTTGCCACCTTTCTGTTCAAATATGACTATTTCAAAATAAAGCCTTTTTAACAGAAAAAGAAGCATCTCATGTTGGGGTCCCTGAAGTCAGTTTCACAGAGGTGCTCAGCAGAGTAAATGTCTGACTGTCACTGTTACCAGAGCCTGAGGACATGCGGGTCCTCTAGTCCTGCCACCATCACTGCCATCACGTTGGTTTCTACTCATCCTCAGCCCTGTAAGTCTGGGTGGAACTGGCCCTGTGAGGTTCTGAGACTGCTCTTTGCAGAAGTAAACAACCTTGCCTGTCTTCTACTGAGCAGCTGGTGGTCTCCAACTGCGGACCTTGTGCAGCCCAACATGGAACCGCTACGTCACCAGGGCTCCAGTGTCCCTCAACAGTGATTAGATATGTTCTGTTGGAAAACATTCCAGGATGGCCTTGAAATGACAAAGACATCTCCTACAAACAAGTACATTTTGCTCCTTCTGAGGTAAACTGTCAATTCAGGGTATAGTGTAAATGATTGTGCTAGCAAAGGCATGGTCATTGTCACTCTGAGTTCTACTGGGTTCCAAGGACTCTGTGACTCCCACAGAAAGGAGCTGCTGCTTGTCTGGGAACAAGCTGGACATTTTATCTAAGACTACGCACTACAGTGTTTCTCCAAAGATTAGCTCCAAGAATTTGTTATAATTACTGTTAACAAAGAATGACTGTTAATGCCCCCCCTCTCTCAGCAGCCTGACCCCCATGAGACCTCTAAATGCCAGCTAATTAATAGTTCTGTTTGTTCACACGGTTCCCTTCCTCTAATGCTCTGATCACCAGAAACCAAACCAAACTAACTGTCATCAAGTTGATGCTGACTCACAGCGAGCCTATAGAACAGAACAGAACTGTTCCTTAGGGTTTCTGAGGCTCAATCATAATGGGAGTAGAAGATCTCATCTTTCTCTCAAGAAGTGGTTGATGGGCTGAACGTGCTGCCCAGTGGTTAGCCCACTAGATACCCGAGAGCTCCTTGCTTTCCCCATCAGTCCCTGCCAGCCAATTCTGCCCACCCCTCCAGGGGCAGGACCCAACCCCATCTTCCCTTCCTCCCCTTCCCCGTGCTCCCTGAACACTTTGTCAGGTCCAGGCCCAGCCATCTTCTCCACAGTGAATTCTTCCTTGCTTTTGTAATTCAAGGGAGACATACAAATGGTTCTCACAGGTATGCAAACCCTGCCCTAAAAATGCCCTGGGCAAGCTGCCTCTCACTGATCTCATCCCCCTTACCCAGCAGCTCTTTGATCCTGAATTCAATGGCCTCAATGCAATGTAGTACCTGCTATGGGCATCAGACCTATGCCACTCAATTTCCACTTCCACTCAGTCACACTCCTAAGAGGGTAAATGAAGCACACCAGGTTTTCCCACACTGAGGTTCCCTTTTCAGTGACTGACTTCATTTTCAAAGAGGTTCTTGCTCTGACTTAAGATGATACAAATAGCAAGTATCTTCTCATCAGGGGAACAGAGAGTCAGTGACTTGGGTTACTGTGTTGTTACTCTTCTTTTCTATGTGTAGTTTTCAGATTGAGTTTTAAAAACCAATCAGTGCATGTTAGCATTTATAACCAGAAAGGTAGACTTTGAAATGTCAAGCCAAGTGGCTACTGCAGTTTGAAATACTTTCTATAAAAAAAAAAAAGTTAAATCGACCACTTTTCTGCAATAAAAGCGGTGATTTTTCTCTGCCCGGATAACTCACCTTTCTCAAATGACTCACTCCCAGACAGATAGGACTTGTACTTTTCAGGAGCATGGTCCCAAGGCCAAACGTTCTGTGCATTTGGAGGAAGAGCCACCCACTTCCGGCCACGTGTTTTACTTACCAACTCTGAACCAATTTCACCGAAGGCCGACTAAGCAAGTTGTCAGGCAGCAGGTTGACTTCTCTCATGGTGTTCGCCAAGCGCACAGGGAGCTCCTTGCGGAGGAACATGTAGGAGGTCTTCTCACATGCATTGTCTCTCCCTGGGAAGAGATGGAAACGGTTCCATGGGTCATTACAACCTAACAGCTGGGAGCGGGGCTACTGGCTGGAAGGGGAAATGGACGAATCCTGCAATCTCTAGTTAAATCTTTATCCTTGGAAACAAAGGTGGTTTAAAAAACAGTGATTTTGGAGAAAATTTACATATATGCTCGCATCTTTGGTCTAGGTCCTAAATCTAACACTCAGCTAACGGTCAACTTTTTCTCTAGACTCTAGGGTAAACATTGACCCTTAGCTCACCATGAGGTGGCTCTTGAGAGAAGCTCAATGCGCACAAGCCTATTTTATAATCTGCTGTCTTTTGGTAGCTATGTGACCACTGGTAGTCATTCCAGTTCTAAATGGAAAGGGTGCCCCAGCATAGTAGTCTTGGGATTTTTTCCACCCCTAATCTCTACCTGTCCACTAGGTCTGGTCTTTTGAAACACCGTGAGTTTTGTCCTACATTTTTCTACCATTTTAGTGGGACCATCATCTGGGCTCCTGATCAGGACTGCCAGTAGCAGTAGCCAGGTACTATCTAATTCAGGCAACACAAAGTTTAAGAAAATCACTAAAGTCGAAAATAAGTACCACGTTTACTCCAAGAAGCAACCTTGAAAGCCAGGCTTGTGGTAGTGTTTTATTTCCCTCCTGAACACAATATGCTTCTAGTGTTACTCACAGCAAAATAAAAGTGTCCTAGGATATAATTCGAGTTTATTTTCAAATAACCACTGCATGGAAACTGCCACGCACAAAAGTACTTGGCCCATGCAAATCCACTCCTCTTCACAGGGGCGCACAGAGGGCAAGAGATCCTTCCCCTCCACATCTGCGAATATCCACCTACTGAGTGCCAAATATTTCCTAAAATTTTCTTCACATGTGTTTCTTCAGGGGCCAGCGCTCTGCATCCTGACCAAACCTAAAGACGGAGAGGTACCAATGAAACCAGCTCGTGGGCGTGCTCAGAAGTAGGGGGGGCCCACTCTGGTATATCCAAGAGGCTAAGAATAGGGTACCAGGTAGACTCTAGACAAGGTCGAAGCGTGTTCTGGAAGTTGCCCTGCGCTCTTGTGCATATACATAAGTAGGATGCAATCATAGAAACGATGACACCTGACAGGAGAAACCCAATCCCCTTCCCCGGTGGCCATCTGATCAGACTAGTTTGAAAACTGGTCTTGCCCCTCAGCCCTGATGACGACTGAGTTCATGATGAAAAATGTACTTGAGTACAATGTACTTCAGGTCCAGCATCTCCATTTTGAATTTGGGGAACCTCTGGTAAGCTTCTTGCCCTCCTGAGGCTCAATTGCCTCATTTGTAAGATGAAGATAAACGCGTTTGTAAAGATGAAATGAACAAATGTCTATGAAGCCTGGCAGAACAAGTGTCCAGTAGACATCAGTCCACTTTCCACCCACCTTAGTACTTATGGGTTCGTTCTATCTCCCTCGAGATGAAAAGACTTTCCCAATGCTCCCAGGACATTGTTCTGAACCTGGCAACATAGGAGGGAGGCCAGCCCAGAGATGGGATATTAGGGGCAACACAGCGACCCTAACAGTTTCCCCCTCCAAACTTGCCTTACTCATCCCCGTATGACGAAGGCAGTAAGTTAAGAGATTTGGAAATAAGTCAGATGTTCTAACACTTCCAGCTGTAGACACTTGCTCTGCCACTGACCCTTGATTGTGCCTTCTCCATTTTCAAAAAAGTTAGGATAGCATTGGTTAAAGGCTTAAACCAGGCATCCTCAAACGACTTCCTGTGGGCCACTTATCCAGCCCGCCAGGTGTTTTTGCCCCGTTTGTTTTAAGATATGTGCAGTGTGCATACGAATTTGTTCATAACTTCTTTTTAAAACTATGTATAGTCCGGCCCCCTCCAACGGGTCTGTGGGACAGTGAACTGGCCCCCTGTTTAAAAAGTTTGAGGACCCCTGACAAACAATCGATCTCTCATTCTAAGGGAAGGCTGGCAGTAAACTTCTAACCAATCTTCCTGCCTTTCACCGCTTCCTCTTAACACCTCCACTGTGATGGATATTTTAATTCACAATCTGAGGGGGGGTGGGGATGGGGGGGGACACGACATATAATCCAACACCTACTCTATGCACGTGCTTGTGATCTCAATGTTTACAACAACTAAGAGTTATTTTAGGGAGCCCAAGTGAACCCCTGGGACAAGGCTTTCTATTCCCATAAAGAGTTGTAGTCTCGGGAACCCATAGGGTTATTGCACCCTGTCCTATAGGGTGGCCATGAGTCAGAATTGACATGATGGCAGTACAGTGAGTAGCATAGTGAGGTAAGTGTTGGGCTGCCAACCACAAAGTCAGTGGTTCAAGCCCACTAGTCACTCCTTGGGAAAAAGATGGAGGCTGTCTGGTTCCTAGAGATTAAGTCTACACTGTCCTGTAAGGTCACAATGAGATGGAATGGACTCAATGGCAGTGGTGTGTTTCTTCATGCTATTTCGCATCAGATCATACCTACCATTCCTAAAATCTTCTGTCTATGCATACTTTTTATAGATAGGATCATTTAAAATACAGGATAAATGCTGACAGTGAAAAAGAATCTCACGGTGAAGCTCACTATAAAAGGCAGGATGTACTGTCCAAATTAAAAGGTAAATCTAGACTTTTGCCAGACTAGGAGGAATGCTTTGTATTCCAGTTAAATACAGAAGTCTTGATGTGGGGGAGAGAGAAAGCGCCTAAGAGATGTTTATGTTGAAAGGCCTCAGTGTGGGAGGAGAAAGTTACAGAACAGGAAGAGGACAAGTTCTGTGGCCTTGAACTGCAACTCCATGTATCAGTGGGAAGTCATATTCAAACAGTGATCCGTTTGGGGAGCAGTGAAAATTCATCCTTCAAAGGATGAGTTCCAAGTTCACCCACACTTTTATATCAGGAGCAGCCAGTCAGCATTTTGGGGGAGAACGAAGAAGAACCGTAAGAGGGGCTAGTCAGCTTACAGGGATGAAATGGTCAAGTGTCAGGCCCACGGTCTCTTCTTTGAAACGCAAAAGACTAGACAGCATCAGAATTCGAAGATTTCCAGGCTTCAGGAAGGGGAGAAAAATGGTACCTGAGTATATTCAAGGGGGCTTCCCAAAGTTTTGGGGGAAAGTCCATCATCTTTCATTTCCATTTTGCCAGAAACTTTGAGAAACCGACAACCAAACCCACTGCCAGCAAGTTGACTCAGGCTCCTAGCAACCCTGTAGGATGGAGTAGAAGTTCCCCGGTGGGTTTCCAAGACTGTCACTCTTTACGGAGTAGAAAGCCTCCTCTGTCTCCAGAGGAGTGACCGGCCGTTTCAAACTGTTAAAGCAGCAGTCAGCAGCCCCATGCATCACGCAGTATGCCACCAGGGCTTCTCGGTTTCCGATAGCCAAGGCCAAATTTCAGGAAGCCTTTTTGTGTTATAGCTTCCTTGCATTATCATCCTTATATAAACAAGTGTGAAAAGAAACTTGATTTTTCTCGGTCTCCATATCCCCCACAGCACTTATTCTAGACTCCTCGCCTATGTAACGTCTCAATTATTTACTGGAAGAAAAGATAATGCTTTCAGAAGTTTGTATTTAAAAAAAAGAATAGCTGGAAAAATCCCCCTCTCTCTTTTTTCAGTCTCCTACATTCTAATTTAGCTTTAGGGACAAATTCTTTGTACTCAGATACCTTAATTATACACCAGCTAAAGCCGGGGGATAAGTCTTTTTTAGTTAGTTAATTAGTGAGCCTAAAAATAAATATGAAATGCCTGATATTTGAACCTTTCAGTGGCTTTCCTCATGTCGTATAGGTTGAAAGTATTTTATCCTATGCGTTGATGCCAGATATTCAGTTTAAATTAAATTTTTCTCCAGAATCAGTTCAGCAGACAAGAAGACAAAGAGGGAGTGGGTGAGGGGGCTTGAGAGAAAAATTCTAACTTAGGCGAATGCAAATAAGGCACTGACTTAAACGCACTCTTGTTCTTTTTTCAGTTTTTTTCTGTCCTAATTTGATGACCCTTTCTTTCGTTCTTGTCTGTCTTCTGTTCGTTTTGTATACTTGGCTCTTTAAGGGGGCAATTAACAGTTTGATTTTCTCTTTCTAGAAAGAGTCTTCATGGCTTTACATTCACCCAGACACGAAGAGGCAGGTTCTAGGCCACTAGAAGACAGTGCTATAAATGGTTTCCATTTTCTACACCTTTCCCTGAGGAGGGACTAGGAGAGGGCCCCGGATTCAAAGCCTAGGACCAACCTGAAGAGGGCGAGCGCAAACAGACTTGAGATACTTTACACTGAGCTTAGAGTGGCCTGTTCGGTTGGGAGTCTTCAATCCACCAACCTGTTAGTTAGCAGAGGGCTGAGGAGATAAGTCTGCACACTCGCCCTTCAATAGAGACTATACTGCCAGAAATGCCCACCCTTTCTCCGTTTTACTTGAAGGCCTTCTTTGTCCAGGTCTTTCAGCTGTAGCACTTGGTGGAGCACGGTTTGGGGATGGTAGCAATGGGAGCAGGGGGTGCAAACGGAGAGCAACAGATGAAGAAACGACTAGCAAGGCACTGAAATCCAACACAATGAGTAGCTCATTCTGATAATGCTTCTTTTTCTAAACACTAAACAAGTCGGCAACTTCTTTTGTTTTACCATTAACCACGTTACAACACTATAGGCGAGAGAACAGTTGAGGGCAATTCTTTGCCTTTTCCCCTCTGGCTGTGTTTATATGATGTCCATCTTTTGAAAAAACAGAATTTGGGACTCATGAGAAATTAATGCTTAGATTTACCAAGGCCAAACAGTGAGTAAGAGAATAACCCCTTCAAAAGAAGCAACCCAAAGTCTGACTATAGAGCTGCCAAATGATTGTGCGTGTCTTTCAGAAGTCTTTGTTGTTGTTGCTGTTGTTACCTTGATCAGTTCAAGGTGTTTGTTTCATTTCATGTCTAGAAGCGGTATCTCACTGCCTGAGAAATTTGACAAC